TTATATACTTTTAAAGGCACTTCCATAATAAAGGGAAGATACTGTTAAAGATACTACATTTTTCAATATTAAGTTTGATGTAACAAAAGTATTTTAAAATAAAGATAGAGGTACCAATGAGGTTAAAATTTCCAATATGTACCATCGATTTAAATGCCCATATTTTTTACTCACTAAAAGATAGCATTTTGCAAAGTTTTAGGTTGCAGAAACTTACGGTTCATGAGATACATTTTTTTACTTTGCATACAAATTAGCAAATATCACGCACTTACAAAATAAATTTGACAAAATTATACGCGATACGCTCCGCAAAATTAGTTTTATTCTATTTATATACCTTGTTTACGCACGAAGCACTAACACCCTACTATCTCGATTTCCAATACTAATGCAATCGGTTGTCTTCATCCATTTACTTTTGTTTCACTAACCACACAGGTAATATTTATGTTGGATATCACAAATGTACATATAAACTAACTGCACGGTCACTCTCACGTTTCAAACAACGATATTCAAAGAATACATAAACATACATAAATGAATATTTAAAATCTCCAACTTAATACGATTACCGTTTAGGAAGTAAACACGTCTATCGCTGTTGCGTGGAAAGGCAACACAGAACATGCACGCCGATTACAACAATCTGAAGATTTTATAATTAAATTGATACCATACAAATATAAACCTTCCTTCAATAGATATAGTGCATATAAATGTTTAAATGTGAAACCGTGAACACTTGACTGTTGGAGAAATGTGTGTCACAGCGATTAGTCGAAGTGTTATAGGTGATCAGTATCCTACTTTATAGTCACTGACTATAAAGTAGGTAGTCACAGTCATAAATCAATCCTATGGCTTTGCTATAAAGTGCAATTTGTAATAATACGTACGTGCAAAAGAAAGTGATGCTTGACTTGTTCGTATGTTTCTTATTTTATATATGAAAACCATGGACATACTAATAATAATTTTACATTTGAAAAATTATTACAGCAAATTACATGAAATATATTCCGGAGTACTTGTGTTATAATGATGAATGAAGTTAATTTGTAAGGAAAATATAAGGGATTATGTTTCTTTCTGTAATATTGGTTATATTTTATATAAATTAGATTGGAGATAAAAAAAAACTACGGATATTTCTATAAAAGGGTTAGAAATATTCATAAAATGAAATGCAAAGAGGCATTGTTTCGTGTATTAATATAATGCTCTTAAGGCGATACCCCGACTAAAACCTTGCGACAGTGCGTTTTTCAGAGACTATTATCTCATTAGTTATGAATAATAAACTACATTTCATCACATTATCATTCTAATTTGTTTTTATGTGTTATAAATACATTTAAAATCAACTTTCAAAAATGACTAATATTATTGATTACATGCATCTGTTGCTAAAGACGACGCTCTAATCATTTGAGGATTACACTAACGGATAGAAAATTTAAAAATCTATATCATTCACGTTTTATTTAATTACTTAAGTTCACTTTTATTTTTTAATTGAAATAATTCCAAAAATACGGGCGTATTTATTACGCGATTTATTGTATAGGATCTAACGCTCAAGGTCGTTTGCTAGAAGTAGCGCCTTAAAACTGATAAACTTTTATTTAAGGCTAACCTCTCAATTAAATGATATAGTGTGACAAAAATCTTCACCTCGGTCCCTACTAGAGACATCTGGTGTGAGGAAAATTATTAGCCCTCATTATTAATGATATAACCTCCAAATTTAATAAAATTTAAATTGATAAAAATACGGTTTTTGCTTAAAACACAAAAAACATTTCCGGTAGTAATCGATCAGAATAGTTCTTTTTTTGACAGAACAAGGTTAACAAACAAGCACACAGTTCACCTGAAGGTAAGTGGATGTAGCCCATACACACGTACATCCACAACCATTTAAGAATTAAAATGTACATAGTTGTCACCCCACACGACTAATATACAATGCCTTGTTATCGGTGCAAGGCTTCCTGGTACTTTGGTTCTCTGATACTTACCGTACGAAACACAGTAGATTTACTCCTATTTTACGCTGGTATTGTGTGAGAGCGTGGTCCTGCCCCGGTCGAGCCATTCATGCTACTATGGGTGATGGGTAAATAAAATGCTAACATGGCTGCAACATTGCTCTACCACGCAGTATACATAGTGTTAAGTTTAAAAAAATAGAATACGGTTGAAAACAAGAACACAGTTCACCTGGTGGTAAGTGGATGGATCATCAGTTCTTAATACGTCTGAAATTTTGCGTAAATTTTAAATCTGTGTAGTGGCAGTAAGAATGTCCACTACCCTATATTATCCCATGGGTGTCGTACGGGCCCACAGAGAGAAACTGACAGGGGAGATTGCCTACGGTTGCCATTATATACATTGTAGTTTTTAGTTATATTTGTTTTGATTTAGTTTTGTCACAAAATGTACCGAAAAACAACATAATTTTGCACAGTTTGCAAACGCGTCCTTAATAACGCATACCTTATTCCTTTGTCGGTGAAGCTAACCCACGACTGCGGGAGTGTCAAAATGAAAGTGATGCAATGACTTCATAGTACGCAAATTATGAGATAGCCATACCGAGCAAGCGCTTGGCAAAAAACTAAGTAAGCGTCAAACAACATTTTTATTTATTTTAACAAAACTTCGTTATGGATTTAAAACTAGTTTATGAAAACTTAGATATGATTATTTACTATGCCTTAAAAATAATTCCATGAAATTATTCATAACAATATTGTAAGGTCATCGAGAAATGTACATAATTAGAGCCTACTTTGCAATTTTTTTCTATCGAGAAAATTACATGATATCGTGTTTTCCTTTTATGAAATCCAAGATCATATAGTCAAAAATCATATACCAGAATTGGTTGGTTTGTAATCTATAAAAATTAAAAAAAATATGTTATTAGAAAAACCACTAAATTTTCGAGGTATCACCTTACGTACGTAGGTATTGTTGCGTGCCTAAGTTGACGTCAGGTATCCGGCACTAGTGCCATCTAGTGTCGGGGACCAAAGCGAGGAGGGCTTCCTAGAAAATGTCAATCTTGACTTGAATTAAGTTTTCTAGCGCCACACTCGAACTTTCTGCGTCTGGTCAGTCGGTGCCCGTATCTACGGGAATATTCTGGATGTTTTGGTGAAAAAGGTGTATAAAAAGGCACGGTAAGAGTATTGAATTATAATATTTGGCGAGACAAGCGAAGCTTCGGAGCGAAATAAAGTGAATCAGTGTGATTAATTATTAGTGTCTTTTAAGTTTTAATTGGTGTTGGGTAATAAAAGTGTAAGTTTTGGTAATTCAATCGGCAGTTTTTACTGTCACGAACCCAACCCACGAACCAAGTTCGTAACAGTATGTTCTACTAGCGCCTAAAAATAAAAAATCCGACGTTTTGTCGCATCTAACAATCATATAAATGATATAAAAAGCACATTGTCAGAAATATAAATTGTTGCTGAAATTACCTTTTTTTTAAATCGATTAGTTGCTATTTTTACATTAAAAAAGTGGTTTTAGTGGCTTATGGTGTAGATTTATCAAGTCCGCATGGAGGGGTAAACACGATAACTTTTGAAAGTATCAATTGTTCAACTCAATCTACTTTTAATCTCTTCGTCTATCATGTTGGAAGACATTGAATGTAAATGACAGTTTAATTTTGTTTTGTTTAGTTATAATAATTTTTGTTGTCTGAATTGTTTTTTTTGTCTGAGAAATTCCTTAACAGCCTTGTTATAATATATTTTACTAAATACACTTTGATACAGAATAAATAAACTTTAACTTGACTCATACCGGGCTCAGCGGCGGTCGTGAGTGGATTACTGTATCGTTTGTTTACAACAGTTCGTGACGAAAAATAGAAATAATAAATATTCCAAATACCAAATTTGATACATAATTCACCAAGGTAAGATGTTATTATTATTTTTATAATCACAGATTTTTATTACAATATATTGTTTCGCTAAAAGTACGTAGGATTTATATATAAATATACTTAAGCGTCTTGAACTTTATGGAGTAAGTAGAACTAGGTGTGCCGAGATTGTGCTCGTTATGTTAGTTATGATGAGACTTTATCTCCGGACTTGACCGAGTGACCTAAAGGTATACTTCGGTGAATGCAACTAGAACTCCTCGAGTAGTAGTAATAGTAATAGGTATGCTGAGTTTGGGCTCGTTTTGTTAGTTATGATGAGACCTTACAAACTAGGCAAGTGCCGAGAAGTGCAAGGTTAAAAAAATTTAATCGAAGTACGAAGATAAGGTTATTAGTGAAAACTTATGTGTATTTAAAATACTTTAAAAAACTTACGTATAAAATGAGCACTTAAGGCATCCATTTGGATTTACCAAAAGTTTTTTGAAATAAATTTGATTTTTTATTGGTATTACGGTATTTTTATCCATTGTCCAAATAATTGTACACTTAACAAAAACATATGTTAATTATAAGCTTATTTTACGTTTTAAATTTTTTCATACACACGGACACGAATTGGCGTTTTGCTCATCTAATTGAAAAGAAAGAGAAAGAGGTTTTACAGTGATTATTAATTTATCACCATCGCGGCACATGATACGGTCATTGATACGAGTACGTTAACAATTTGCTAGATAACCGCCAATTCCTTGAGGCAGCTTATTGTCGTCGTGACGGACTGACGGAACGATAAACTCGAAAATTTTATCTTATAATATATCTCATATGATTTGTTTAAATGGATTGTATTTAGATTACACTGTGTGCAAATAATAATATTGTAAATGAAAGTCGAACAGGCCATACGTTTGTTATTGATTCTGTGCTTTAATTAAAAAAAAGATTTAAAATATTTAAATATAATTATATCGTGTACTGCCCGAGTGTCTTAAATTATAACATATTTTAATTATTATTGTTGGGTTTATGCTGTGTGATTTGTGAAATATTGCTTTCTTTTAAAGATAAATAATTCATAATGAAACTGCACTGGACAATATTATGGTCTTTATGGGCAGCGAGACTTTTACAGCAGCCTACCGTCGTAGTGCAAGTGAGTGGCGGACTGTTACGTGGTACCATCTCTCCAGACGGCACGCATGCCCAATACCTGGCTATCCCGTATGCTACAGTACGGCCTGGGAATAGATTTCAGGTTCGTTCCCATGACAACCAATCGTCTGTAAGTTGTGATAAAGTACTAGGAATTCAGAACACTTTTAAAATCAAACTTATATGCTTTAAAATACTTCAATCAATTGTTTACAGTGTAAGGTTATTTTTATAGAGTAAGGGTGACAAACGAGCACATTCCACCTCATGGTACCCTAATCCACGTGCCAAGCGTGACATAGAACGTGCACGTGCCAACTCTGACGTAGAAACCCTCTATGAGACAACCTATGTATAGCGTTGCCTGGCGTCCGGATAAAGCCGGACACAGTCAGGCTTTTTGGTTGCATGTCCGGCCAAATTAGACGGTGTCCGGCTATTTAAATTTGACCATTTCTTCTCATTTTTCATGTACTTACATACACACAATTGCAATTATTTAAATTAATATTGTAATGAATATTGAATGATTAATAATAATGGAGACCGATTTATTCAATTGTTGTTATTTCATTACGATGATAAAAAACTTCATATGATAAAAAACATTGTTTGACTTTAAAAAATGTCATTCTGCTAAGACTAAAAAATTAGGGGTGTCCCTGTGGGGTGTCCGGCCTTTTTTACCAAAATGTCCTGCTAAGCTCGCTGATCTGTCCGGCTTTTCGGTTTAAAGACCTGGCAACCCTACCTATGTATTCAGAAATGTACTTATGATAAGTTATAATGAATAAATGAACGAAATTTTGGACGCAGTGCGGTCTTTTCCGCGTCATGTAGCTCGTTCGCGCTGTATTTATAACAGCTGCAGCATAATCCTATCACGTGAAAGTATAACGTCGTTTTTTATAGCATAAGAGTGATACACGAGCACACAGTCCACCAATAATAAGTGGAAGTGTGGCCTATAGCCAAAGTTTTAGGCTTTTTAAGGCTTTGTTTATAGCTATAGCTATAGACAAAGCTTTCCTAAGTCAGAAGAAATGTATTTGTGCACTCTGTAATGTAGGCCCTCTTGAAAGCTGTAGACCCCTGTTTAAGGAAAAAGTATTCTCACTTTAACTGATTTATATATATTAAAAATCTGTGTTTTCATTAAAAATAATTCTAATCAATTTGTTACCGTGCAGGATAATAATAATTCTCTAGCAAAAAGAGATCCGACACGTCTACTCATGCCATCTTGTATAACTACATTATTCCAGAGGAATTGCCTCATAATGTGTATCAAGGTTTATAATAAAGTTCCTGAAAATATTCGTGAACAGCCATTAAGGCGAATGAAAAAAGTTTAAAGCAGTGGTTAATAAATACTGCCTTTTATAATATCAATGAATTCTTTAACCATAAATTTTGATTTTATTTTTATTGATTTTGCTTAACTAAGTAAATTACTATAGATCCAGGAATTTGCGTGACACTTCTCAAATGAACAAATATTAATTTTGTTATGTTTCCTTAAAAAAATAAATAAAAAGTGTTTATAAAATAAAAAGAAAATTTATAAAAGTGTCTATTTCTAATTTTATTTTTTTTTTAATTTTTAATTATTTTTAATATATTTATTTTAAACAATTTTTACGCATGCCACAAAAGGCAAAACATGTGGAAACAAATATTGTCTCTGTATCCATCTGTCTGCATTCTGCACCCATGTTTTAGCGAAGTAAATGATTTGATTAGACTAAATTTATCCTCGATTAAGAATCAAATCACCCTTTCTACCTTTTTGTTGAGTCTGAAAACTAAGATGGAATGCCTCGTTTCCAGTGAAAAGGGTCTCCGGTTTTACACTCATCATACGAAAACAGCAGCATTAAGCTGTTATTTTACGTTGGTATTCTGAGAGAAGGTGGTCTCAAACCGGTCGAGCCATTCGTGTTACAACTGCAACCATAATATTTATATTATAGTTGGCTGTACAAGAAACTTACCTGCGGTGTAAACAAAAACTAGTTTGGGTGAGTTATTAGTATTGGCGTGTACATAAGAAATCATTATGCAAATCGCATACTTTTTTGTGTTCAGACGATGTGTAAGCGGTTCTTAATTTAATGTATGCGCAACAATTTATTTTGTAAACGATGGTATCGAGCAAATAAAGCGTGCGGTATATTGCCCTGTAGTGGAGTAGTGGTTTTTTTGCTGTGAGTACGCTTGCTTTATTTCTTTGCACTGCTATTACTGCTATTACTTTATTTCTTTGCACTGCTATGGTATTGTTACGCGCCTAAATCGACGGCACTAGCGCCATCTAGTGTCAGAGACGAGAGCGAGGGGAGCTTTCCAGAAAATGACATCACTAATCTTTCAACCGACAGCGCCATCTAGTCTCGAACCGAAGAACTAAACTTCTATAAGTTGAAACTCGAACTCTCGGTACCTTGCGCGTGTTTACTTGAATATTGTGGATATTTCGGTGCTAATTTATATTTATAGGCACTGCAAGATGCCGTGCCTATAAATATAAATTATAGAAGTATTGAAGTTGGCGAGACAAGCGAAGCTTCGGAGCGGAATAAAGTGAATCAGTGTGATTAATTATTAGTGTCTTTAACTTTAATTAGTGTAAAGTGAATTATTAATTTAGGTAATTCTATTGGCAATTTTTATTGTCACGAACCTCAAGCTCGTAACAATTGGTGTCAGAAGTGGGATAAAATCATGCCAATTTTACCTAAGGAGGAAACGGAGGGTATCCGTACCCGAAGCCAACGCCAGTAGGAGACGGACCAAAGAAGATTTGGTGGTGCAACGCCGCAGACGTCGGAGGGCCAGCCACCGGCTGCAGGCCCGTCAGTAGCCCCTACATCTGCAGCACCTGACTAAGGTGCTCTGATGGTGATGCTGCAGGAGCAGGCTCGCCGACAGGAGGAGCAGGCTCGCCGACAGGAGGAACAGGCTCGCCGACAGGAGGAACAGGCTCGCCAGCAGGCGGAACAGGCACGCCGATTGGAAGAGCAGCTGCGGGGCGGACAGGAGGAACAGACCCGCCGACAGGAAGACCAGATTCGTCGTTTGGAGGAGCAGCTGCGGGGCGGACAAGAGGAACAGGCCCGTCGGTTGAAAGAGCAGATGCTCCTCATGAAGGACCTTCACGCTACCTTCGGGAAGGAGATAAAGGAGGTGAAGGATAGGGTTGCTCAGCATGACAACCGCCTGTCGGAAGCTGAAACCCAAATCGCGAAAGCTGAAAACCGAATCGAGAAAGCTGAAACCCGAATCGACCAAGTAAACAATCGGGTTGACAACGTAGGGGGAATACGCAATGAAACGGACGCGTTATGAAACGGACACTTACGATATCTCGAAAATTTTTAACGAAAATATTCATTTCATTTGTTTGTTGGCAGCACTGATGACCATAGACAAACCCACAATAATGACAGCTACCGGCGGCCATTATTTTGTTTACTTTTTCGCGTGTTCTTCAACACTTGAGTTTTGTAAAAAAATAACGTATATTTGCCAAATGGTTTAAAATTCGATAATAACTTGGGTCACTATTGTGATAATCGTATTTGTTGTGATATATTCTCAAAAATACATGGAACGGTGAGTTATAATCTTATTAATACTTATTTTATGGAATTTGGTTATATATGTATTTAAGGTTAGATTTGCAATGAATTGGACAGGTACAGTCGTGTTGAAACGGACGTCCAATTCAATGCGTCAGTGCCTGTCCGATTCATTACTCCTGTATACCTAGTCTCTTAAATTGGTTTTCTTTGTTCATAAGATGCCACCAAAGAAGAGAGTTCGTCCAGAGAAAGCGGCAATAGAGTCTGCTGTGAAAGAAGTATTAAATAAAGGCCAATCCATTCGCTCAGTAGCTTCAGCATATAAGATATCGAAGTCTTATTTGGCGGATATCGTTAAAAAAGCTAAAGAGTCTTCAACTACGTTCACTCATAATCCCAATATTGGAAATAGAAGAATTTTTTCTCAGGAACAAGAAGAACTATTAGCCGATTATTTAAAAAGATCTTCAAAGATGTGCTATGGGCTCACTACAATCCAGGTGAAGGAGCTTGCTTATCAATTTGCAGTTGCAAATAATATAGCGCCCGAAAAGTGGATTGAGCGACGAAAGGCTACGAAGGATTGGTTTCGTGGTTTCATGAAAAGGAATCCATCTTTATCAGTACGTAAACCAGAAAATACTTCTCTGTCCAGGGCTACATCTTTTAACCAAGAAAACGTTGGTAAGTTTTACGAAAATCTTGCAAATATATTGAATAAGAAGAAAATTGAACCTCATATGATATGGAACCTTGACGAAACTGGATGTTCGACAGTGACTAACCCACCAAAAGTAGTTGCAACGCGAGGCTGTAAACAAGTTGGACAGGTGACATCGGCAGAGAGAGGACAGTTAATCACAATGCTTGGATTCATTAATGCTTCAGGTGGCACCGTACCTCCGGTATTTGTGTTTCCTAGAGTCCATTTCAAGGAATTCATGTTACAAGGCGGTCCAAAAGGGTCACTCGGCTTAGCCAACCCAAGTGGTTGGATAACAGAAGAGAGTTTCTACAAAGCCATGATACACTTCATCAAATTCGTAAAGCCGTCTGAGGAAAACCCCTGTTTGATACTATGTGACAATCACTCTAGCCACATAACAATCGACGTTGTCACATTGGCTAGAGATAATTATATAACAATCTTAACGTTTCCACCTCACTGTAGCCATCGCCTCCAACCGCTTGATGTTTCTGTTTATGGACCATTTAAAGCTCGGTATAGGGAGGCCATGAATGCATGGATGTTATCTAATCCCGGAAAGACAGTATCGATTTACGAAGTGGCTCAATTTGCCAATACAGCGTATACTGCCGCATTTTCTATGGAAAATGCTATCGCAGGATTTCAAAAAACTGGTATTCATCCATTTAATAGAAATACGTTTACTGAGGATGATTTTTTGACATCTTTTGTCACTGACAGACCTGCAGCTGAGCTCCCTAATGCTGAAGTATCAACTGATAATGCTCCTGGAACTTCTGCTGAAATACTATCTACTGTCGATGCTCCCGA